TTAGCGGTCCATCCTTGGTGAACGGAATTAACATCTAACCGCCTGATGTTGTCTTTGTTGCCCCTGATAGTGGGGCCGCCTCTTGAGAAGCCGCCTGCTATAGTGTAGACGATGGCGTCGTCAGTATCTGAACTGTCGGCCGGTCGATGATTCCTCTTGGCCGACTTCTTTTGCCTGTGGGGAGCCTCCCCCTTGGACTTCTTGACATAGGAGTCAAGATCACCTTTTTCAGCCATGCGGTCCAGGTAGCGCATGAGGCTAATACACTGATTGGTTTCATGACCAATGTCTTCATGGAAATTGCAGAATTTCTTTTGGTTCCGATTACTCGCATAACCTTTCATGGGGCCGGCTTCTCGATGGTCATCTGGCCTTGGATTTCTTTGAGGATAGCTTGGCTATCCTTACTGAACTCATACTTCGCGGAGTATGGTTTAAACTCTTTTTTCTTTTTCTGGGACGGCTGATCAGAGGAGTCGGCTGCCCAGACTTCTTTTCTCTTCTTCTCATCTTTATTGGCCGACTGCTTTGGTCGGCTCTCTTTTTTGTCGAACTTTCTTCCATCCGACTGCTTCCTAGTATTACACAGGTCAGTCGCCTGTATGTAGGCTTCCGCCTCAATTAATGCTTCTTGGAGAGTAGCGACCCTCTTTCGGACCAGGTCAAACTTGAAGGTCGACCCATCCTTTAGACCTCTGAAGAAGTCAGTGTAGGCTACCTCATCCGGCAACCCTTGTATCTGGATTCTCATCAGGTTAAACCGCCTGATGTAGGAACGAAGTCCCTCCTTTTCTCCCTGTTGTATAGTCCCTAGGTCAAGGGTCGTCTTCTTAGTAGGAATATTCATGGCGAAGTAGGAGGTGAACAAATAGGCGAGGGTCTGGAAACTATTCACACAACCACTCGGCAGGTTGCCGAACCACTGTTGTAAATGCCCTTCAAAGTAGCTGGGAAGCACTTGCACCATGTGGGATCATCCAACCCTTGGAGGTACATAAGGTTGGTGAACGCCATCAGATGATCCTCTGGGTTAGTAGTGCCATCATAGGCGCCTACTAATACATTCTTCACTTTGGCCGGCTGGGCGGCCTCTATAATTTTCTTGGAGAAGGCGGACGACTGTTCTCCAAGTCTTAGCAACCGTAGTTGCCAGTCCAAAGGTTGGACGTTTCTTGCTGCCTGCCCTCCAAACAGAGGAGGCTGCAAGAAATATTGTTGTTGCGGTACGAATGGCTGGTGTGGCACATGCGTAGCCGACTGGTCTTTATGGGATCCGGACCGACGGAAGGTGCTGCTTGTCTGACTCTCATAGTTTGATTGTGAATACCTCATGGAGGTATTGTTCAAACTATCCTGAAAATCTGAAGTAGAGGTCGACTCTGACAGTCGGTCACTCTTTTTCAGCTCTAGCATTAACCGAGCATCATTGTACATTTTCTTCATCCCATCCACTTGAACATGACGGATGGGTTTTCTCTTCCCAGTTGCCGGGACGTGAAACTTCGTTCAATCAATCACCGGTGGCCGACTAGTCCCAAGTTTTGGGTGAGGGGTTACCGCACGATCAGCAACTGACTTCATCCTACCAGAGTGGGAGGATTTTTTAGCCGACTGTTCCTTTGCAGGAACAGGCGTTCTCTTCTTAATCAACTCTTGGATCTCTCCCTTGAACCCCCTCATGAAAGTCATGAGTTCGTTCCTTGTAATGGGAGCAGATCCTTCAGCCACCTGTTGTTGGGTAGGCGGTGGGCCGGCTGGATTGCTAGGTCCAGCTTGGCAGTATACCCGTTCCCTCCTTTCGGTGGCACGGGTGTGTCGGGCCCTTAGGGTCCCATATGAGGCCGTGTGTGTCTCCACCTCGACCTCATTATCAGTATCTTGGTCTGAGTAGACTTGAGGGTCGTCCTCTGGACGCCTCTCTTCTGGATTCGGTACAGACTGTGATGCCATCTCGAAAGTACTTTCCCCACAGACGGCGCCTAAATGTTTCGGGGTTTTCTGATGTCCTGCGGGAGAGTTACAATTCCGGGACTAATATCCTTGCGCCTATACCTTCAAAACAACGGAGACTCCAGGTGATGGGAGTTCCGCCTCTGACGATCAAGTTAGTACTTGGTTGAGGAGTGAATAGTGCGGAAAAGTAAAGGTTGGGAGATCTGGTTCCCCTAGGTGAGGAGTGATCTAAATATATTTTATTCTCTAGGTGAGTGTAATTAATTTTCTTAACCCCCCTTTAATGAGGATTAATGAAGGTATTTATATGCCTTGGGATGCGTTCCAGTCCTAAGTTTAGGTCAACCTAGGCCTAATTGGGCTTCCACAAGACTTTGGGCCTAGCTGGCTGGTTTTCCCATTTGGCATGTGGGAGGCCACGTGTCGTAGCATAAGAGGTCCAAGGTGGACTAATCAACAGTTGACACGTGGCAGGCTCCAATTGGTCCATGTGGCGGACACTTGGCAGAGCTTGAATGGTCCACTTGTCAGATGATGATTGGTAGGGAAAAATCCCCTAATCAGGCGTCAAGGAACCAATCTTAGTGACGTAACTCTCCCGCAGGACATATCAGAAAATCCCGAAACATCCATGGTCATACAATTGGAAAAGACGAACAATCATCAATACATGCTATGTGATAAACTACACTATCGCTTGGCTACTAAGCCAAGGGAAACTACGAAAGCTAAGAAGAAAGCTTAAAAGAAATGAAATGCTTGTTGTTGAGTTTTTTTGCTAATGTCTTCTTTCGGTCCTTGCACTTCTATTTATAGGCAAAATGGAGTGGTTATGGTTGACTCCCATAACTGTTGTACGGTCATGCATGCTTCTTGGCGCCAACTCTATTTTGAAAATTAAAATCATCCATTAGCCTTCTAATCTGGTCTATATATAGTTGGGCTTTAGTATGATATCAGCCCAATGACTGTTATGAATTAATCAAACTAGCCTAATAACCCTCTACTAACTCTAGGACTTCTCAACTTGGTCAAAGTTAAGAAAGTCAAATAAAAGTCAAAAATTTGATTTTTGGGTGTAACAATGATAAAAACAAATAGAATAAATCAAATCAATCAAATAAGCATGCTTAAAAATATTGGAAGCAACTTGATAATAATTAAAGGAACGAATTAAAAGCATCCTAAACATGATACTAAATAATTATTAATATGATATTAGGCATGATAATAACATGATTAATATAATTCCTAAAAATGATACTAATGTAATAGTTAAAAACAACATGATATTAGAAATAAAAATATCGCAGAATTATTTAAACTAAAAGATAATTAAATTCACTTACATCGATCGCGAAACCTTGCAACTATATCATGAACAAATCATTAGTAAACTTCAAAATATTTAAGAAATTGAAAGAATTATTTTAATTTATTAAAGTTTAGATTTGAAACCCTCAAGTTTATGTCAACCTTTCATGCCGTGGACCGCCAATAGAACTCGAGTATCTAGGAACACTTAGAGGAGGAATTGTGAATGATCAGTATGCAAAAGATTAAGAAAAAGAGGAGTTAGAGAGAATATGAGAGTCAAAACGGTGTTCAACTCTGCCCGTAACCCTAAAGAGGCTACGTACGCTATTTGTAGAGCTGAAGTCGAAAAAGGGATAGAACTTAAGGAAAAGCTATCGTGATACACAAAGTTTGGCGTGACGCGGAAGAACCTGGCGCGACGACCACCAGATTTGGCGCACCACGTGGCGGGTTGGCGTGCCATGATGATGTTTGGAGCGACGCGCTAGTTTTGGTGTGTCGTGTCGAACTCCTGATTTTTGCAATTTTTGTTTTAATCATAATTTTTGATCTCAATTCAAACCTTGATTAAAGCAAATAATATATCGTTGAAAAACTTTAAAAGTCTACTTTCTAATCCAATTATAATTTATCAAGGTCAACATATTTTCTAAATTTTAAGATATGGTCAAAATAGTCCAAGGTGTCGGCTTTAGACCGAGTTTGGTCTTTCGATCATATCTTTTTTGTTATAACTCGGTATTGGGTTTATGATATATCATTGAAAAACTTATTTCAATGCTATTTAACCAACCATATATTATTTTTATAATAATAATGAATCACAAAAGTCAGATTTTCTCAGTTTTGGGCTGCAGTTATGAAAAAGGGAAAATCGAGCTGAGCCATGTGGATTTTGGGATAGGAAAAGTGTGGGCTACTTAAATGGCTAAAGTAGCTTATGAAATGATAGAAATGAAATTGACATGTATATATTTATATGTAAGACTCAAGTGTTACTTTCTTTCAATACTCTACTCGGACCAAATGGCAGTGAAAGGTTTTACTAATCATCGGGTTGCTTTCGATCGGAGAGATATTTTTAGCTAGGTGTCTACAACAATGTTCTTTCCTTTTTTTGACGTGTGTTTTGTAAATTAAAGTGTATCATGTTTTACCGAGTGTACCATGCGCATAGTACACCCAGGTATATATACCAACCAATTATTTTTTATATAATTAAAATTAGTTAAATATCCTAATAAATAAATCGCAAGAGAAGCTATAGGGTAAAGTTTCATGAGACAAGCCCAAAATAAGGAAAGTCTAATACCCTTTATAAAATACTAAAGCAATTATAATTATATCATCCAAATAGTTACTAATATCATCCAAACAATTAACCATTATCTCGCCTAGACTATTAAAGAAATCATCTAAGTAGTTACTAATATCATCTAGCTAGCTAGACATTCAAATATATCATCCAATCCAGACATTTAAAGATATCATTCAAACAATTAATCATATCACCAACCAAAAAATCACTAGTAGAAAAAATGAAATAGGCACCGCAGTTTTCGCACTGGTTTTCGAAAACCGGTGTTAAAAGAAATGGGCGGGATTGGGAAAATGACATTTCGCACCGGTTCCAACCGAACTAGTGCGAAAAATGTGTTTTTCGCACCGGTTCTAACCGAACCGGTGCGAAAGCTATTGTAAAAAAAAAACCCGGTCTTGTTTTTCTTCTTTCTTAATTTCTCTTTCCTCGATCTCTCCTCCTCTCTCATCTACCTCTCTCTCCTCAAACAAACCCTAATCAACAAAAGAATCGGGAAGTAGACGAAGATGAAGACCTAGATTGAACGTCGTTCTTAGCCTAAATTCGGTGATGCTGTTCATGAAGAATTCGGCGCTCGTCTAACTATGGTTTTTACTGAAGAAATTGTCCTTGAACGCGACCTGCTGCTCCTGGTTTGCTTCGATTTCGCTTCCTTTTGGTTTTGATTTTGTTTTTTTTTTTTTTTGCTGTTCTCAATTTGGATCTTCGTTGCTATCGATGAATTGTTGGTTGATTTTGTTGTTGTTGTTTTAGGGTTATCGAATCTGGTTGTATTATTCATGTGTTATTGGATTGATTTTTAATGTATTTACTCGTGAATTTGTTCTATGTTTGAGTGATTTTTGCCAATTGAGGTTAATTGGAAGAAATTAAGGGTTTCCTGATTTCTCGAGGCTGTTTGTGGAATTTTGGGGGAATTGGAGATGGATAGGGGTTGCGGTGGTGGTTTCGTGGGTGCGGTGGTGGGTGTGGTGGTTGCGGTGGTGGTTTCGTGGTTGCTGGGTTGTTAGTTTTATTCGTGTCTAGTCAATATTGTTCACACAGATAATTAGAACTAGTTCAACTCTTGATTGATAACTATTCAGGTATTAGTTAGACATTGTCGAGATTTCATTAATTTTGGTTCTTTTAATTATGTGAAATTAGATTGTTATAGGAGCCATAGTGAAATTTTTTTATGGAACAATCAACCAAATTGGAGTTTGATTGAATAGGAATTTACAAGATGAATACTCGAAATCGACTGTGTCATCATTGTAGCTATCAAAAAATTGGGCGTTCTAGGGCTAAGCAAATTCTTTCGGATTTGAGTTTGCAGAACAAACTTACCAAAGAATTATCTGACGATGAACTTATCCAGGTCAGAGATGAAGTCTCCAAGTACATGATCGAGGGTGACCTGGTATATTCTGTTCTTTTTGTTAAATTTCTACTGATTTTAATTTATGTGACTGCTTGTTTCAAAAAAAAAAAAAAAAAAAAAAAGATATATGTGACTGCTTAATGTGAAATTGAATTAATTTTTGAATTTGGGTTGGTGGTTTAGTTACAATTATAATCTGGGTTTTGAGTTGTTTGAAGAAATTAGAAGTTTTACTGTTTGATGGAATATGTTCATCTTGATTGCGGATAAAATTGTCCAACTTTTAACTTGGATACATGTTAAATTGATACTATTTTTTTATTGTAATAGGTTGTGAAAATTGATAGAATTAGTGATGTATTGTTCTTGATTGGAATTTGGGATTGTATTTGTATATGCAGAGGCGATTCAATGCTATAGCAATTACACGATTGAAGGATATACAATGCCACAGAGGGATAAGGCACATTCAGAGTTTGCCTTGCCGCGGACAACGAACCAAGAACAACTGCAGGACTTTGAAGAGGGGAAAAAGAGTTCAAATTGCTGGCAAGAAGAAGCCTCCTGGTCCTAAATAGTTGAACTGGTTTGCCTCTTTTCTCTTCCTGTAATTGGGTGCAATATGGGCATTCGGTTATTCTAATTGTAGTTGCTCAGAATGCATTGCTTGTAATTTTGTAATATTGATTTCTCTAGCAGTTATTGCTTCAAAGTTTAAATTTCCTTATTGCTTATTTCTCATGCTCCTCCACCTGATGTGCATCTGTTTAATGCTCATTCCTTACAAATATATGCCCTGTGTTGTCCTTTCCATTTACCTATGTTTTCGTTTAATCCTTACACGGTTACACCTCACTGAGTTGTACCCTCTTTCTTAGCTAGCTCAGAAGACCAGAAATGGTATGTCCCCTCTTGACTCCAATAGTTGATGGCAACTTAGAAATTAGTTTAAGGGGTCTATACTCTGAATTACACTCAAACACCTTACACTTTAGTGAGGAGTAGTAAGTTGATGCTCTAGAAAGGTTAACATGACTTTTTCTCCAGCATGATTTTTCAGTCTACCTGACCTGATTGAGACCACCTTTCTCTTAGATGAGTCTCTCCTCCGATAGGTGGATTCTGCTTAGTTACAACAGATTATATACAATCTGTCATTATTCTTACCCTTGAGCTCAAACTTCTTTTAATCCATACATTATTGTGCTGTTGTGCATATTTCTGTTTCATAAAACAATTTTGCAGAAATATGTGCTGCTGCTCCCATCATTCGATCACTCCTTTCTACTCTCCTTTTCTTCTTTATTTTGTTCTCTCTTCCTTGCCTATCAATCTAGCATATATTCTTTTTTGTTTTTTTTTTTGTTGTTTTTTGACAAATCTAGCATACATTCTTGAAGAACCGTCTACAGTAGTATATACAACTCCCTCAGGACAAATACCCATATTCCATAACACCTGCCATTCTAGTGCTAGCCGCGTCACTTGCAACAAATTTCTTAGTCTGCTCCATAACCTTATGTGCTCCCTTTCATCTTTTTTTTTTTTTTTTTTTTTTTTTTTTTTTTTTTTTTGTGTACGTTTTGCCTTTAGCAAATCTGTTGAGTGCTTAAGCACAGCAAAGGAAGATCAACAAATTCCGAAGATGAATTGGCTATAGTTTACTTGGCTGGACAATCTTTTTTTACAGAATTGCTGTCTGCCGAAAAATTTAGGGATTATCATAGGTTTTGTAATCAGTTAAACAATTATGGATTTGTCCCAGAAAGCTCTACTGCATCTTCTTGTTAGTACTATATTATAGTGCTTAATTGTTATCCTAATTCTGGAATCTTACATGTTTCTGATTTTAAAAATTATGTGAACAAATTGACCGTGTGGCTCAAAGCTTTGGTTGTTGTGTCGTGTTTATATACAAGTATGACATTGGGGAATTACTGGTGATTAAAAAAATTACGAGTACACTTCTATTGTAAGCTGTCTTACTTTCTTCCATCTGAGCTTTTATGGTTAATGAATATTGATGTATCTCAATACACAATGCACATTGGGTGGTGTTGCAGGTTTGGAGATTCATGGCTGAGGGAGAGGAAGACTTGCCCAGGGATGCGAAAATTGTGAAGTCATTGTTAAAATCCATGGGTGTTGAGGAGCATGAGCCCCGTGTTGTGCACCAGTTTCTAGAGTTGTGGTACAGGTATGCTGTCGATGTCTAAACGGATGCACAAGTTTACTCTGAACATGCTGGCAAAGCCTCAATTGACTGCAATGATGTTAAGCTTGCTATCCAATCAAAAGTGAATTTCAGCTTCTCACAACCCCCACCTCGGGAGGTATTTTTAGCTTTCTCTTTACCCCCATCCAAGTGTTTACGTGTGCATATGATAGAAATCTACATTGCTATGATCTCATTGTCTAAAGTTGGGAAAGGAATGCCACTTTTCTTAAAAAGGTTGACATGTGGCCATTTGGGATCCTAATTGTATAATTAGCAAGAATTGGATATGCGGGAGAGAATTACTAGTAAGAATTGGTTCAAGATATCATTTGATTTGTTATGTGTGTAGGATTGTGAATGTTTTTATTCAAGGTTTTTTTTTTTTTTTTTTTTCTTTTCACTTGCTTTTTTTTCCCCCACCCCCCTTTGTCAGTATTTAGAAGTGATGATTGATTCCTCTTTCGACCATAATTTGTTTTTTTTGGTAGCATTATTCCTAATTTAAATTTTTTAAATTATCTAGCCCCCTTCTACTGTATTTTAAGTATGAAAGTTATAGAATTCAATAGAAAGTCTCAGTCGCGAGAGTAAAACTTTTTACAATTGACCCTCTGCCCTACCTTGGCGCTTTTTAAATCAAAGTTCAGTAGTTGTAGACTTGTAGTTTTATTTCCGCTTGTATTTAACTGCCTTTATGTTTAAGATTCAGACTCTTTACAGCCGGCTGTGAATCATCTTCTTGTAGTAGTACTGATTAGTGAATAACTGAATATGGCAATTGAAAGTTTCAAAATCAGGAATGTTGTTAAATAAAGCAATGTTGAAGCAACATGAAGCTGCTCTCAACTTTACATGTGTGAAACTACGCATAGTGGACCAGCATGAGTCTTATCCAGAAGCACTAGCAGACCCTGAGGCATGTTTTATTTCAGGTCTTGAATGCTGCACGGGATGTGTGCATACCAATTGCCAGTGATTGACCTTGTAGACTTCTACTTTGTGTGTGAACTTGTATTTTATTTTATATTTTATTTTTTTGGAGGAAAATTGCAATATTACAGCCTTTTTTAATGAAAATATGTAACTTTATATATATGTTAGTGTTTATATATCAATTTAAGTAAAAAAAAATTAAATTTTTTTTTATTTTTTTGGGGCATTTTTGACACCGGTTTTGAAATAGAATCGGTGCTAAAAGTTTTTTTTTTTTTTTTTTTTTTTTTTTTTTTTTTTTTTTTTTTTTATTTTTTGGGCCATTTTTTGCACCGGTTCACAGCAAAAACTGGTGCTAAAAGTTTATTTTTTTTTTATTTTTTTGGGGCATTTTTCGCACCGGTTAACAGCAAGAACCGGTGCGAAATCTAAGTTTTCGCACCGATTTTGAAACGGTGCGAAATCTTTTGGTTTTTGGCATCCCTCAAATAAGCACCGGTTCAAAACGGTGCGAAATGGGGGTTTTGAACCGGTGCCCATTTGTATTTTTCGCCTAGTGAACTAAAGATATTATCCAAGTAATAAATGATATCATCCAAACAATTAAACATGTCATCCATCCAGTTAATCATATCATCTAGCCTAAACACTAAAAGATATCATCCAAACAATTAATCATGTCATGCAAACAATGAATGGTATCAATAATCCAATTAATCATATCATTTACCACTAAAAGATATCATCTAAACAAGTACTCATATAATCTAAACAATGAATGATATTATCTAACCAAATAATCATATCATCCATACAATTAAATTAATCATATCATCCAAAAATGAATATCATTTTATTATATCATAATTCACCTTAGCCCATAAAAGATATTATCCAAACAATGAATGATGTTATCTGGCCAATTAATCATATCATCCAGGCATTAAAAGATATCATACAAACAACTAATCATACTTGCAAACTTATCTTTGTCATGGCGTTGATTATGGGCGTAACATAAACAACAAAAAATTCTCATGTTGTCAAATTTAGGGGCTTTAACAAATAATTTTTCATAAGGTGTCATAATTAAGCACACTAGATGATGTTTGATTAATTAAATAACATGCTTCTAATACACATTCTCTCCAAAATTTCATTGGTAAATTAAATGACCTTGAAATCTATGTGCCTGAGCCACATTCATGATATGTTGATGTTTTCATTCTACTCTTCCATTGTCGCTTCGTACTTTCTTCAATTTCTTATCAAATTAACGATCAATGAAACCAACAAAGTTCATAAACATAGTCTTAATCTCCATTTTATTATATAACAAATAAATCCAAACTGCATGCGGAAAATTATCTACAATAGTTAAATAATTGTGCCCCACATGATGAAAGAGTGCGATAAGGACCCCATATATAAATCAATGTGAACCAATTCAAACAAACTACTAGCATTGTTTTCACTTTGGAAAACTATCTCTATGTTGCTTTGCACGTGGACAAACATCACATGCTCTTTTATTCTTTCTTCTACTAAACGAACTCACATTAGGAATGAACCTTAATACCTTCTCCGACGGATGGTCCAAACGGCTGTGCCATAAATCTATTGACGATTCATCTTCCACTGCCAATGCGCACACCTTTGGAATACTTTGAAAAAAGTAAAGTCCATCGGCTTGTTCACCCACTCCAATCAACTTCCTCGTCGTCTGGTCCTGTATTACCAACAATGCATTAGAAATTTGAACGATACATTTTTAGTCATCGAGTAATTGTGTGATTGAAATTAAGTTGCATGTTAATTGAGGAACAAAGAGGACATTATCAAGACGCAAACCACCATCTAGAATCACACTGCCTTGTTTTGTATCACTAGAATCTTTCCCATCCGGCAATCCCGCCGGACAATTAGAAAAAGAAAATTCACATTTATTATACAATTTAAATTTTCCGTCACATGGTGTGAGGCGCTAGTGTGTCAATTATCCAAGCATTATCGTTCTTACCATGACGACGATCCTTAGTTTTAGGAGTGTTTAAAGCATCAAGAAGTTGCTGCCATTGTAATGGAGTGATCCCTATTATACCTGCATCCTCACTTGTGTTTGGTAGTGCATGAGATTGTCCACCCTTTGAACTACTACTATTGGTGCTTGCTCCTGCTTTGTTGGCTCGCACAGGAGGATTGTGAGAATCTCTACCACGCTCACCAGAACGACCTGCACCTCTCCCTTGGGATGCTACGCCACGACTAGGCCCAAGTCCACCCTGAGGACGATCCCCCCACCAATCGGGGAACCCATGGAGTTGAAAACACGAGCTCTCGTTGTGCCCTTCTCTGTTGCAGTAATTACAAAATTTGTCATAAAATTATATATCCACAAACTTAGATTTATTACCTCGCATATAGGGTGTGTTGAATGACTAATTCAAAGTTAGTTGCTATTATTTAGCTAAGTTTAGTGTTAGCAGTAACTTAGGATGCTAATAAAGTTGTTTTAATGGTTGTTAGTGGGTTAGTAAGTTTATGCATTAAAATTAGGAAGTGGGATTTTGCTCCCTATTTTTCAGTTTGTTTTTGTTAGTATGCTACACTATTTAAATTGATGTACAATGCTTCTTTTAATTCAAGTTAATCAAATCATCTTTTTCTTTCTATTATATTATTTTGCTTCAACATTGTGGTATCAGAGCATAACCAGGTTTCGATTCACTTCAATTAAAAAAAAGGAGGAAAGTTAGAGTGAGAAAGCAAGAGTGAGAAAGTCCCCTGCTCCACCGTGAGAAACCTAAAACCTCAAACACTAAACCCACAAAATTGAGTGAGCAAAAATGGCAGGAAATGGCACAAATCCATCCTCACATCCTTTAATTCCCATCTTCAAAGGGAAAAAAATATCATTTATGGAGTCTTAAAATGAAGACCATGTTTAAATCCCAAGAGCTATGGGATTTAGTGGAGAATGGGTATGATGAACCAAACCCAGCACCGGCCATTCCTGTTTTAGGTAAAATATTCAGTTCCACGTGGCCCAATTAGATGGTGACACGTGTCACCCTCAAAGAGGTTCGAAATGAACCAATCCTATGCTGACACGTGGCATCCTAAGTCATGAAGAAGAAGATGGCCTTCCTGGCCCAACCCATGAGACAGCCCACCAATCTTTGGGCTCCGTAACCTAGAAAATAGGAGCTGATTTCTAGACCCTATAAATAGGGAGATATTCCCATTAAGTGCATTTATTTAAAAAGATTCACCAACAAGAGCAATATTAATTGTAGATGCTCTCTCTCGGAATCCGAGAAGACTCTTTACTTTTTCTCAACCTTAGCTCCGTTCGTACACATACTAACTTGATCGTCGGAGGCGGAACTCCACCCAACGGAGTCTCCGTTGTTTTACAGGTACAAACGTTCCGGCATCCAGTCTTGGAATTGCAACTCTCCCGAGGGACTCCGAAAACCCTGAAACATTTGGCGCCGTTTGTGGGGAGAGTACTTCCAAAATGGATTCCCATGAGTCTTCACCGCTTATTAATGAGAAACGGCCTACGGCCGAAGCTGAGGTCCACACGGACCAAGATAGTGGTGACTACTTTGAGGTCGACACCTATATGGCCCCAGATGGGTCACTCAAAACAAGGCGCACCCGTCCCAAGGAAACAAGGGAATGAGGCGATGACAAATCTGGTCCAAGCAACCCAACTGGAAAACCGGCTGGACAACCCCAGGCGGCGGAGGGTGCTGCCCCCGTTACAAGAGATGAACTCATGAAATTCATGACGAGTTTCAAAGGGGAAATCAAGAACCTGATAAACAAGAAAATGGCTGGCTCCAACAGGGGTTAGTCAGCCAAGAAGCCTTCTCCCTCAGGGAAGAAGTCAGTTAAAGACCGTGTGCCTACTCCTCACCCAAAACCAAAGGGGGCGTATTGGCCCATGGTTGACTTGTCAAAATACCGATTCCCTGAAGTAGGGAATAGGAAGGCCATCCGACATGTTCAACTGGATGGATCAAAAAAGACTTACTCGGATGCCCGGATGTTAATCCAACAGAAGAGAAGTCAGCAGTTGTTTGAATAGGCTTCAACTTCGACTTACTCAGACAGCTTCCTGAATACCTGATGCGGATGCATTCAACGTTTCCTTTCTTGGTCCGTTTCTTTAATGTTTCTTAGATTAGATTTTGGCTTACAAGTTTTTACCTTTCACTTGAAAGGGTTTTTCTTGTTTTAAGCATTAGGATTTCTATTTTGATTAGGAATTGTTTTGGTCTAGTGAGTTCCTATTTGAATTAGGACTTGTCTTTAGCAAAAGAGATTCCTAATTGGATTAGGACTTGTTTTTAGCAAAGTAAATTCCTAAGTGGATTAGGACTTGACTTTGGTTTTTAGGCGTGTCTAGGTGTTTTAGGAGGATTGAACAACCTAATCTAAGTTGAATTAAACTTAGTTAGTTTAGTCATATCCGAATTAGGAACTTGGGGATCAAGTTTCGGTTTTCTTAGGTTTTCTAGGTCAAATGGGATTCTAATTTAATTAGGATTAGTCTTCTAATTTGATTAGGTTTAGGATTAGTTTTGAGTCTATAAATAAAGGTTGTAAACTTCAAATTATACAAGTTTGTTTTGTTGATTAAAGCTTTATTGCTTGTTAAT